TATGCTTGGGACAAAATTTAAATAAATTTCTTCCATTGTTTGTGTGCCATTGACCACCTTCAGTGACATAATTATGCAAATCGGAATACCTGGGTATTATTTGGTAACGAATTAGTGAGAGCGATAGAGAGAGAGCTGAAGAGGGAAATCAATGCGCTAAATTATTAATAAAACGTGAATTTGCGTAAGAGCCCCCATAAAATGTTTTGTTTGCTGTGTAAATATTGGAACCCAAAGCAAGGCAATTGATCGATCAATTAGCAAAAGACCAGACAAAACGAATTGATAAGGTACATACTCGTAAGAGGGAAATAGATTGGGGGGAGGAAATGGTAATACTTGAAAGTTATGTACATGATAAGGTCTCAGCGTTAACTATCAAACATTTTTGGAAATTTAATTTGATGATCGCTAAATTATCGCTTTATTGCAGCCAATGCTTGAGTTGATAAGGTCTCTAAGAGGAAATACAATTGTTTGGAGGATGTTCTCTCTCAGAGTTTTGATTGAATGAGAAAAGCGTTATCGCTTGATCTTAAATGAAGAAACTGAGAAAGCGATATCAGGGGAAAGGTTTATTTACTAGTGCTAAATCGAAATAAAAGTAGCTTATTGATACGCTATAAATAACATCACAAATATGAGTTTCAAAGCAAATATTTAGTTCCATTTTCAATGCAGAAACGAACTCCGCTAATTATTTATAGCACATTATGGCTCTCCTAGCCTAACCACAATTTACGGCTAATGAGTTACGAAAATGTTTTAGCAAGCAATTAGCTGTTTTGGTGGGCAATAACTCCACACACAAACCTCTTGCCTGAAGGCCCTGCGAGATACATACTTTCAAAATGACTTTCTATGCAGTTGGCCCGTTACTTTCTACAGGGCAGTTATGCATAGTATATGCTCGTACAACTTAAATACATAGGTTGTATATATGGTAGATAATGGGTTTGGCTACTCACCAGACTATCGGCCACACTTTGACTCATTATATTCCAGATGCAGCAATTACATGGAGGTGCGTGCTGCGGGGACTCGAATGCGTTGCAGTTGCCGTAGCTGTAGCTGTATCTGAGGCTGAAGCTGAAGCGGAAGATAATGACTTGTGTCTGTTGGATACGCGCATTTTGGCCAGACTAACGACGAACAAAGACTCGAATACACACACTCTGTGGCACACACACACGTGCAAGGCGTTTTATATTTAATCGTATTTATGTTTTTCTCTTTGGGTTGTGCAATTGGGCCGGGCTGTGCCGGACAAGCGGATGTATCTGGCAGATACGCGACCAAACTTGCAATCGTATCGCCACAAATTTCAAGTTTTCTTTTCTTCTGCTCCCCTGCGTTACCAAACACTGTAAGAAAGCGACAAAACATTCGAGTGAAAATCGTTTCAGCGCGCCAAGCAATGGAAAGTGCGACAGACAGCCGCCGCAGTGGAGCGCGTAACTGAAACGGTCAATAAAAGTTAAGAGCCAAACGCCACACATTGCTGGCATTCCTTAAGACCCCCCCAAGAGGAGACCCAAGACCGTTCAAAAGACCGTAGACCTAGCGACCGACCGCCGAACAACAACAAAACCCAAGCAGAGGAAAGCTCGCAACTGATTTACGATATTCGGACCGATACATGAGCGACACCACAGTGGGCTGGTGGCTAGTTAAAAGCCATGTGAAGCATGATGTTGGCTTGGGTACGATTAATACACAAGAATGTCTAAAGCTTTGTTCTAAAGTTTTATAACTTCCCGTTGTCTTAAGATGTAACCATATCCAATCCTAATACATATCAAACACCAACTAGCAGCCCCACTGTGCCGAGCTATGACTGCGCGACCAACTGCGACGCTGAAAGCGCTGCTTGTCACTCGCTCAGTCTCAAATGATGAATTTCTTTTTTACGATTCGTAATCACAGTTACCCCCTGTCCAGGCACGAACGAGGGGGGTGACAAAGAGAGGAGACAGAAGGAGACAAAAGATAGCGGATCTTCTCGAAATATTTAGCAAAGGAAAAAAACATTAATGAAAGTTTTTTCAGCTCATTCTGTTCTTTTTGCGAGTTGCTGCTTCTACCTGTTCCTTCTATGCGCTGGAATGCGTTCTGAACGGCTTTGTTTTGAGCGGGGAGAGGTCTCAGGCAAACATGAAAAAATGCTGAAAATTTCTATGCAACACAAAACAAATCAAAGAATAGGCAGAGAGGCTGGTCAAACACTACGACAGAGTCAGAAAGAGTGAGAAAGAGGGAGAGAGAGAGGGAGAGAGATAGGCTATGGTAAATCAGGTGTTTGCGGTTATTTGGCTGTACCTGTGCCATTCGAGAAAGATCGACTAAAAAAAGGGTTGGTTTGTGGTGTCTAATAACGTTTCCAATTACTAGTTGGACGATTCTTCTTCGCAAGTAAATATACCCATAAAAATGTATGCATAAATATGCAATATAAATGCCCTCCCATCTCATTAAGGGCACTCTGGCTGCCCGATCATCAACCTTGATTACCTTGAGCGTTGACTGGTCCTTTTTCAAGCGCCATAACAAGAAGCAGACGAAGAAGAAGAGGAAAACAGCAAACTGAGGTCTTCATTCTGTCTTGCCAACTCCTCCCTCTATCTCCCTCTATCTATCTTCCATCATCCGCTGTCCCTCTTTATAATTTCTCAGAACTATAAAAGACCTCATCAATTCATTAGCATTTTAGTTTCAAACAAAACTTAGAACATGAATTCAGACTAGTTTGAGGAGCACTCGACCACTTGATACCCTTTCGCAACTAGTTTGACAAAAGTCTCTATAAATAGTCATAGAGTCGGTAGGTCGCTGAAAATATCCGTAGAAGCTAATAAACTCTACTTATGCTAGGGTATACTAAGGGGCGTAGCTGCGCTGCCAGCGCTAAGTCGCTGCTTCGCTGTTGCAGTCGCAGTCTCAGTCAACGCTGCTCTCTCTCTCTCTCTCTCTCAGGTGCTCTTTTTCTTCAGGTGCTGCTTTTGCTGTTCTGTCAGCTTGGATGAGCTTTTTGCGAAATTTTACACCTCCACACAGCTGGGCTGTGGAGATCTGGGGATCCATAAACGGTATAAGCATGTTTATACGTATGGTATGTCCGAGTGATATATGGGTCTACTTGTTTTTGCTGCTGGTCAATATTTACAAATCGGTACCAGTCAATTTTGGTAACGCTCCAGCAGAGCACAGCTGAGTGAGAGCCGCGCACTCGCTCTCTTTACCTGGCCCTCACCTCTCTATATCTCTCTCGACTACCGCTCTCAGCCATGATCTCACTCTCATGTTTTTTGTCTTACGATATCAAATTGCTTTATTAGCCAAAAACAAAAATAACGCAAAAACATGGCCATGTTAAATCTTTTTATATTCTTAAGCTTTGTTTTTTTTTTTCCTTGTTGTTGTTAGTTTAGTTTTTTCCTATTTTTTGTCGATTTTGTCTGTGCGATTTCTTCTCTGCTCTGTCGCTTTGACACTCGTTTCGGACGTGTTTCTGTGAGGCACACGCAAGCAGTTCTATATTTTATAGACAATTGTTGATACACATTTATCTGCTTTTTGGATAGGTTCGAGCTGTTTCCAAAATTACTTTTTTGTAACGTTCACTGCCACGCAAAGAAGTAATCAGTTTCAGACTCTAAAAACAATGTTCGTTGAGATAATTATTTATTTATGAACAAGCTTGTATTATAAATCAGATCATAGATTGTAGGGACCGGATGGAAGTGATCTGTTATAAATAGTTACTGTGTTTTCGAAAGGTTTGGAGTCCTAAAAACTGTGTAGGGGGACACCTTTTTAGGTATTCATACAATGCTTTACACTTTTCTAATTATTAATTTGCAGTTGGGTTTTTCCTATATTTTTTGTTGCTGTTCGCTGGCTCTCTTTTGGCCCAAAACACGTTGCAATTGGCAACTGGTTTACAGCTATGCAACGGCAAACACACAGAGAAAGAGAGGAGAACACACACAGACGCACTCACACATGCACAGACCTAGCAAGACACCAATACACTGGCAAAGGGACGCTGCAGGTGTGTAAATGCCAATTTTATTATGGCCTTTACTTTAATTCTTTAGAAATATATTTCCATTGAATTCGTACGATTTTATTTACGAATTGTATCCATTATATTATGGGTTAATTTCAATATTCATTGTATACCTTTTAGATACTCATTTTGTGGTTGTTTTTTTGTCGCTTTTCTTTTTAGGGGCCACTTTTGTGCACTTTTTCACACACAGAAACACGAAACAGAAAATACCATTAACGATATGATGTTGCTGTTGTCTTGAGCACTGAAAAACCGTTCGTTACGCTTTGGCAGACATTACGAGCCACGCTCCGCATCCGCGTCGTACCCCCACTCGGCACCCTACACCACCAGCAATCTCCCGACAAGATGATGGCTCTATTGTTGCTGCTGCCCGTAACCGGAGAGCCGACTCGTCTATCTTTGGCAACGCGTTTGTCGTATCTGCGACAAGGCGGCCAAAACTCAGCTTCAGGCCCGAGAAGCTGGCTCCGCTACACAGCCAACAAAGGGAGAGAGAGAGAAAAATCAAAAGAGAGTGATCGTTGGCTGGCTCAGATTTAACCATACGATCTACCTGTGTGCAAGGTATTTCAATTCAAGGTGAGGTATTCGCGTATGGCACTCAAACGATATGAAGAGAGACTGCAGATTTGAGTTGCCTCGCTTGAGTGCTCTACCTTGACACGGTATAACTGTGCCTCACAACCGGCAGTGGTGCGATCGACTATATCGCAAGGTAAGGTATGGTAAGGGATTGGAGATATCGTAAAGAGATGCAGCGTCTCGCTAGCTACAAGATTAATGATTTAGGCCGATAGTCTCGCCTCTAGAGAATATCGTACTAAAATAATAATATTAACTAAAAATATTAACTTAACCAATGCACTGTACTGGCATACCTGACACCCCTTGGAAACATATTTAGCTCAGCTTAAAATATTAATTTAACCTCCTAATGCGGCGCAATTGTTTGATTAACCATTAAGTTGCAAAGTTGCATTTACATTCCTTTAATTGATTTATTATTTACATTCAATGTTTGCTCTTTTTCTTTTTTGCTTTCGGCTTTGATCTGTCGCTGCTCTTCTTTGATTTTGATTTTGATTTTTTCTTCGATTTCTTTTCGGATTTCTTAGACTTTTTCGAGCTGGCACTTCGATGGGAGCTCTTTTTCGATTTGCTGACTTTAGTTCTCTTGGCCTTGGCAGGGGAGGAGGTGGAGCAGGAACTGGATGTGTCACTAGAACTATCGCTATCACTATCGTCCGTGGAGAGAGCCTTCTTCTCCACCCACTTCTCGGCGGAGCGCTTCTTTGGGGCGTGCTTCTGCCAGAGGTGCTGAAGTTTCGCCTCGATGCCAACTTCAACATGGTCGGCCTCCGGAGCATGGGTCTTGGCAGCCGCTCCTTTTTCCGGCAGCTTGGGTCCGTAGATATCCTCGACTGGCACTTCAGCCATGGCCAGCTCCTTGTCGTTCCTCAGCCGCTCCTCGCGCGACTTGTAGGCAATCTTCAGTTTGTTCCCCTCGATGGGCGCAAACTTTGGAGGCGCCGTTGCCTCTTTAGGTTTGAGCTCCTCAATCGGCTTGAAGAGTGCCGCAAAGATCCCGCGCGGCGGTGAATTGTTTCTCAGCACATTCAGAGATGACGCAGAGACTCCTGAAGTGGAGGGCAGACCCAAAGCTTCATTGATTGCTGCCAGTTGTTCCTGCGGCGTGGACAAAGACGTTATCGCAGGCGCAGCCACCGGCACGGGGTCTTCTTCGTCGCTATCCTCGAAGATGCTTCTAAACAGATCCTTCTTCTCCGATATGGGCTTCTCGCGGGACTCGTCCACCGCCTGTTCCAAGGGAGTTCTAGGCACAAAACTTGGCTTGACTGTCGTGGGCTCCTCCACCTTTTTCTCTTTCTCCGGCTCTGGCACCACAGCATCTGGAGGCGGTAGTGGAGCTAAAGGAGGCGGAACAAGTACAGCTGGCTTGGGCTTCTCCATGTGCTTGGGTCTGATGCTTGGAGTCTGAAAATCAGCCTTGCTATTGATGGAAGTCTCCAGGTAGTCGAATATTGATATCTTGGGCCTTCCTTTGAGCTCCTTTGGCGGCTCCAGCATGGACCCACCGAATGGTTCGGCAATGTTGTAGCGCTTGCAGAGCAGCGAGGCGGGTTTCCACATGGCCTTGGTCCGCTCCATGACCACCTTTCGCTCCTCGGGCGGCTTCTGCTGCTCCTTGATCTGTTCCGCCTGAACGGTGGCCTCCGACACGAACCTGTCGTACATGAGGCCGTTCAGCGGTCGATAGATCTTGGCTGCTTGGATAAATTCCTTCTTTTCCATCTCTCGATCCCACAGGGACAGCGTCACCGGCTGCATGTTGGCCAGGAACTCTGTTATCTCCGCATCTGTCTTGAGTTGTGCCTCCAAAAATTTATCGTACCGCAGCTGCTTGGCCTCGTCCGCCAGGAAGGGCTTGAAGCCAGCAGAGGGAGTAGCGGAGGCTGCAAATCGAGAGGTCAGTAGAGGCAAGGCCAGTGCGCTTTTGCTTACCTAAATCCTTGGTCTTGCGTACAGCCTTCTCCTGGATCGTTGCATTTGCATCCTTCACCTGCTTGGCCATTGCTGTGGCTGTCGTTTGTGTCTCTGCCGCTGCCTCTGCTTGGGGAAGCACCTCGTCGACTATCAGTCCACCCTTGGTGAAGCCCTCGGACTTTGCGTTTATTAGATCCAATAATTTGTTGCGCTCCTTAAAGGGATTGCGGCTTGGCGGCTGCTCTGGCTGCTGATCTTTCTTCTGGCTCTTCTGCTCCCCCAGCAGCTGGGCCCGCTGCTCCGGATTGAGGTCGTGCCTGCCTAGGCCTGTCCTTTTGTATTCGTTCCTCGCCTCCAGCTTCTTGGTGCGCTCCCTGTCCATGGGCTCAAAACGAGTGCGACGCTGCAGCCAGTTCCTGGGCTTAAAGTCTCGCGGGAGATCTATGGCGTAGGGTTTCTGCAGGGCTGCGCCGGACTTGTCCTCGCTGAAGCCATCGATGACGTTGCGCTGCTGCACGTGCTGGATCTTCTTCTGCTTGGGCTTCTTGTCCGCCAGGGAGAAATCGTAGCGGGTCATGTCGTCGCGGGCGTATATGTCGTCGTCCTCCTCCTCAAAGGCGCCCACGCCAAAGGCCTGTCCGCGTATGGAGAGCGGCTTCTGCTTGGGCTGCGTCTCCAGCTGGCCAAACAGATTGATGTGCTGCATGGGAGCTGCTGGATGGGCGGTGGAGGACTTGGACAGAATGGGATCCCGACTGAGGCCGGAGTAGCTCATGCCAAAGCGATTCTCCTTGGGCGTGTAGAAGATGGGCTCATAGTCATCGGGGGCAAAGGTGATGTCCTCATCCTCCTCATCGTCATCATTATCATCGGCGCGGCCTTCCTCGGCAGCTGCGACCTGCTGCTGTTCCAGGCTGGACAATCCCTCAGCTCCGTAGTGCTCGAGGAGGTATTGCTCCCGCTTGTTTCTGGCGCTGGCCTGACGCTTTTCCTTTTTGGTCTGGCGTGGACCTACGCCCTGGCCCGGCTTCCAGCCCATGCTCTTGAGTATCCGCATGGCCACTTTGTCGCGAACTGGACGCAGCAGATGCTCCAGCACGGGCACTCCCGGAATGGGACCCACTTGCTCGGGCTGCATTAGCTTCCTCTTGCGCTGACCCGTGCGCTGCTCCTCCTCGCTCTCCTTGGAGAACTCCTCGCGGGTGCGTATCCCCTGTGGCGCAATGCCAAACTCCCCCAGATCCTCCTTGTCCATGAAATCCTCGGGACGCTGTTGCATCCTGGGCGTGGCCTTCTCCGCCCGCGAACTCTTGAAAGTCTGCGGCGTCCAGCCCTCCAGGGAGCCCACAGTGTTCCAGAATCCAGCACTGAAGCCGCCCGTGAAGGCGCCATGGAATCGCCGCTTTCCATTCTCATCCTTTACGATTTGGTCCTCGATGGCCAGCGGTTTCTTGGCCGGCACAACGTCTGGGAGAAGATGTTTAAAGTGTTAATTTCGATGCTATTTGTTGCTGCTATAACTTACCCTTCTCCAGCGTCGGCAGCGGTGTGCCGAAACGGTGCAGGGATTCTTCATCATCCATTTCAATTGTTAAATTTCATTTATTTGCGTGTAAATTTGTTTGGGTTAGCCAACAGTGTGTGCACACCGCTGGAAAGCAGAAAACAGCTGAGAGGGATGCCAACCTTTTTGGCCCTGCATGAAAAAATAACAGTGACTGGAATCGCAACACATCAAATGAAATATTAATTAAAATGAAACTGTAACTGCAGCGCAAAATTATAGCTGCAACTGCCTCTCGCTATTTATTTTAAATTAATCTAAACAGCATTAAGAATATCTAACGAACATCAAACATATTGCAGTCACCACATTTACTCGTGACTTAAAAATAATCACTGCAGCGAAACCACGCTCATCTCTAGTTTTCAAATACGTTCACACTGAAACACTGCAAATATTTTACAAACACGAACTGATTGCAATTTTAAGCTGCCTGCAACGAAATTAGAGTGCCAATGGTAAGCAGGAGACGACAAAACCCATGAAAAAATGACACAAGCAGCTGGTGCAGAAATTGCAGCGGGTCTGAAGCTGAAGAACGCTATGTAAAAGCTAAGGCAACGGGGTCTGTCTGGGCCCCCCGTCTGTACGGGTGACTAATGATGTCAACATTTTCTGTTCTGTTTTCTCCCCAAATTAGACGGCCATTTTTTGCTAGCTTAGACGTCAGACTTGGACAGCGGCACACACATTGGAACTGCTCCCAAGTAAGTGCATAATACAATAAATAATCACAATGCAAAAGAAAAACTAATGTGCAAACCTGTTGCAAAAAACAATTCGAAACTTTCATTAGACAGCAGCATTCATAACGCTCTCACACACACACACGTACGCACGCACCCAATCCTGGCCACCTGACACGCGCACACACAGGCAAGATGTCGGAGAAGAACCTCAAGGTGGGCGCCCGGGTCGAACTGACCGGCAAGGATCTGTTCGGCACGGTGGCCTACGTTGGCATGACCAGCTTTGCCGTCGGCAAGTGGGTTGGGGTCGTGCTGGACGAGCCGAAGGGCAAGAACAGCGGCTCCATCAAGGGCCAGCAGTACTTCCAGTGCGACGAGAACTGCGGAATGTTCGTGCGGCCCACGCAGCTGCGTGTGGTGGCCCCTGCGCCCGGGGACTCGGGCGGCAAGCGCAGCTCTGAGGATGTCAGCGGGGTGACGCCCACGGCCCAACCCACAAGGGCACGGCTGAGCAGCTCACGCACCTCACTCTCATCCAGTCGGCAATCATTGGTAGGCTCACGCACCCAACTCACCGCGTCCCTCAGCGAGCGGACAGGCTCGAGCAGCAGCATTGCAGCAGCCCGCAAGTCCCTGGCCCCGCAGAACAGCAAGGACAGGGAATCGTCCAGCGCTTCCCTGGCAGAGGCAGCGGCAGGGGGAAACGGCTCGCATGCCTCCTCCAAGCGGGCCTCTTTCGTGGAGACGGGCTTCCTGGAGATCCTGAAGCCGCAGTTTACGCCCTCCCAGCCGATGCGCTCGCCCTCGTTCACGACGCTGCCCAACCCGGGCGTCGCATCGACGTCGGAGGACAAAGCCGCGCTGCTGGAGTCGCAGAAGACGAGTGCGGAGCTGCAGACGCAGCTGGCCGATCTCACGGAAAAGCTGGAGACGCTCAAGCAGCGCCGCAACGAGGATAAGGAGCGAATGCGCGAGTTCGACAAGATGAAGATCCAGTTCGAGCAGCTGCAGGAGTTCCGCACCAAGATCATGGCCGCCCAGGCCTCGCTGCAGAAGGAGCTGCAGCGGGCCAAGCAGGAGACCAAGGACGCCATCGAGGCCAAGGAGCAGCATGCCCAGGAAATGGCCGAGCTCTCCGACAGCGTCGAAATGATCACCCTGGACAAGGAAATGGCCGAGGAGAAGGCAGACACTCTCCAGCTCGAGCTGGAGTCCTCCAAAGAGCGCATCGAGGAGCTGCAGGTGGACCTCGATCTGCTCCGCTCCGAGATGCAGAACAAGGCAGAGAACACCATCGGCAACATTGCCGCCGATGGCTCCACCGGCGGTGGCCTCTCCACCTACGAGTTCAAGCAGCTGGAGCAGCAGAACATACGCCTCAAGGATACGCTGGTGCGCCTGAGGGATCTCTCGGCACACGACAAGCACGACATACAGAAGCTCAGCAAGGAGCTGGAGATGAAGCGCTCGGAGGTGGCCGAACTGGAGCGCACCAAGGAGAAGCTGAGCGCAAAGATCGATGAACTGGAGGCCACAGTCGCCGACTTGCAGGTGATTCGAAGTCCTAGACATAAGAACGCGTTCTCTCTGTGTGATTCCACGTAGATTCATGGCTTTTCCTGCACCTTATTGGCTTGCCTTTGGCTCTCGCTTTACCGCTTTTGTGGCTCTGCAATTTTTCCCACTTGCTTTTTGGTTGTTTCTAAAAGAATTTTCATGGAAAATCTAAAACGAATTCTTTGTCCATTACATTTTTATCTTACTTTTCGCTGGCGCGCATAAAATATTTGCAATAATTCAAGGAGGTAAATTTTGTATACGATTTCCCCCTGAACATTCCCCTTCCCTCAGGCAAATTTAGTCCACGTTTCCCCCATTCTGATTGCCCCCCAAGTAATCCCTTAGAAAGTTGTATTAAAAATCACTTCATGTATCCCCAGGAACAAGTCGATGCTGCACTTGGCGCCGAGGAGATGGTGGAGCAGCTGGCGGAAAAGAAAATGGAACTGGAGGATAAAGTGAAGCTGCTGGAGGAGGAGATCAGCCAACTGGAGGCCCTGGAGGAAGTGCACGAGCAGCTGGTGGAGAGCAACCATGAGCTGGAGTTGGATCTGCGCGAGGAGCTGGACCTGGCCAATGCCGCCAAGAAGGATGTGCTCAGGGAGCGTGATGCGGCCATTGAGACCATCTACGATCGCGATCAGACCATCACCAAGTTCCGGGAGCTCGTCCAGAAGCTGAACGAACAGCTGACGGAGCTGCGCGAGCGAACGTCCAGCAATGAGGACAAGTCGCTGCAGGATCCCAGCCTCAAGCTGGCCACCGAGACCATCGACTACAAGCAAATGTTCGCCGAATCGAAGGCCTACACGCGAGCCATCGATGTACAGCTGCGGCAGATCGAGCTCAGTCAGGCCAACGAGCATGTCCACATGCTGACGGCCTTCATGCCCGAATCGTTCATGAATCGCGGCGGTGACCACGACTCCATTCTGGTCATCCTGCTCATCTCCCGCATTGTGTTCAAGTGCGGCATTGTGGTGTCGCAGACGCGTGAGCGTTTCCCCGCCGTGGAGGCTGTCACGCGGGAGGCTGTCACCCAGGGCCATGCCGTGCAGCAGTACACCTTCAAGTGCCGCCTGATGCACTACATCCACAATCTGCAGTGCGCTCTGCACCAGATCCTGTACGGACTGAACAGCTGCCAGCCGGACACGCTGCTGCGGGCGGGCAGCTCGCTGCCGGAGATGGTGGCGCAGGAGAAGATCGTGGACGGGATTATCGAGCTGCTCAAGTCCAACCAGCTGGACGAGAACAGCACCACGGACAACATCGAGAAGTGTGTGGCGTTCTTCAATGCCATGAACTCGGTGCTGCTGGCCGGCGAGCAGCTGCTCAACGAGATCCAGATGATCCGCGACTGCGTGGCCTCGCTGGGCGCCGCCTGCGAGAGCATCCTCAATGACACGGCCATTGCCAAGGTGATCATCCAGGAGGCGGGCGCCACCAGCGACTCGATGCTGCTGATTCAGTACCTCAACGAGCAGATGGAGAGCATCAGGCAGCAGGTGAAGCTGATCAAGCGTCGCCTGCCCAGCGACCAGCACGTGATCAAGTGCGGCCTCTCTCAGCACAAGGTGGACGCGATGCGCGCCCTCGCCCAGAACATCAGCCGCATCATGTCAGCCATGCATCTGGCCACCCGCCAGTCCCTGGCCGCCATTGTGGCCAACATTGAGAGCGACAATGCCGCGGAGCATACTCTGCCGCAGGACAAGTACTGGTCCCTCCTGTCCGCCGCCTGCGAGCGCATCTACGAGCAGGATGATCGCGGACCCACCCACAACTTCAAGGCGCTGCTGGCGCAGGCCAACACGGATCTGCAGCACATTGCCCAGCATCTGCTGGACAAGGAGTACGAGATCATGACGGCAGCCAACACCAGCACAAGCGGCAGCGGACAGCAGCGCCCCACTGCGGCCCAGAGCACACCCATCATCCAGCGAGCGCAGCTGATCAAGAAGCAACTCGAGCAGAAGAACGTGCTGTCCGCCACATTAGAGAACCGCGAGGCGGACATCAAGCAGCTGAAGCTGGCCGCCAAGATGAAGCAGAACGAGCTCAGCGAGATGCAGATACGCAAGGATCTGGCCGAAAAGAAGCTGAGCGTGCTGCAGAACGAGTACGAGCACGCGGTGGACAAGTGGAAGCAGCAGTACGAGGAGACGCGCCAGCAACTCTCGCTGAAGGAGAAGGAGTTCGAGGAGACCATGGACCATCTGCAGAGCGACATCGATGCCCTGGAGAGCGAGAAGAGCGACCTGCGGGACAAGCTCAAGCTGAACACCAGTACCGGCAAGAATCAATCCTCCGACTCGCATTCCCAGCACAGTCTGTCCACAGCCGCCTCCGCCGGCCCCGGCAGCACAAATGTCAGCTACACCACACCCGCGGGCACCGCTCCAGCCGTGGCCGAGGAGGTGCAGCTGCTCAAGAGCGCCTTCACCAACGAGCGCAACGAGCGATTGCGCCTGCAAGCGCAGGATATGCGTGCGAAGCTCTCACAGTTTGAGCCCATCCATGTGCCGCAGCCACAGGATCAGCGCATCAATGCCCTGGACTCGGAGCTGACGAGGATGAAGCACGCCTGGGTGCTGTCGCTGCTGCAGGTGCGCTCCAAGGATGCCGTCGCCGCTGGCAGCATCAACACGGTGGCCCTGCAGCGTCGCCACCAGCCGCTGCCGCCCAAGGGCGAGATCAGCTCGAAGGCCTCCCAGCTGGCCTCCGACATCCTCACAGAGTACCTGCAGAGGAAGCCCCATCGGGCCGCGCGTGGCCAGTTTGCGTCCTTTCCCACCGTCGATGTGAAGCAAGTTCTGCAGATTTGAGTCGCCAAAAGAATGGGGAACGGATGCGGGAACGA